TGTGTTCAAAAGCTGCAACACTAAAAAACGCACAAAACTGACAAAAAAACATGAAGTTTCAGTTGTCTCTTCCTTTATCTGAGGGCTGTAGAAAAATGCCTCTTTTCCTTCTAAGGAAGATCGTATTGCAGGGACAGGTAAAGTTCAAGATCTGTTGAAAGAAATCTGAGAAGCTTCAGTGCTCGCTCCTGGACCGATTCTATCAGCTTGCCCTGAGATCTAGGAAGTCTTGACGTTCTAGGTACATCTACCTTTAACGCAGGTTCATCTTCCACTCAGAAGAAGTAGTTGTCTTTGGACTGAAACTCTCCCAGGAGTTCTGGTCCGCCCTTAATAAATACACAAAGAAAGTGGTTTTTCTGTGCTGGTTGCATGTTTGCTCTTCAAGAACTATTGAACACAAACAGAACTTTAAAACTTTTCCCTTCCAAATTCACTGGCTCTGACCAGACAGCTTGGACTATTCAGGGAAGTAAAAGAGAGAGGTACAGGTTTCTGGTTTTTTGCAGTAAATATTTAGCTCTTATAGGTATGTGTAGCATAGCATATTGTTGGAGCCAGAATTACTCTCTATCTTGGAATGTCTTCTACAGGGATCTTCTGGTTTTCAACAACTTTGTTCTCTTTTCTGATTCTTGGTCACTTGTGCTGTCCATGTCTCCATTGATGATCTTCTCTGAACTTGATGTAAGTGCTGATTAGCTGCAAGAAGTGCTACAGACCTCCTCTTTTCAAATCCTAGTCCCTGTGGGAAGAAGTGGAAGCTGAAGCTTGTGCTCCTGTTTTACTTACTAGACTGAAAGTGTACTTTCTTTCCCAGAGCTTTAAGTTCCTCCTTATCTTTTTGAATTGTTACTTTGCATCAACCATAGTCCTTTGCATCAGCACCAGAAGAGGTGTTTGCTATTAAGGACCAGATCTTGGTGGTCTGTATTGCTCACCAGAGGTTCCCAAGTACATGTACTTCTTGCTGGAAGCATGCTCAGCTGTATCCCTGTAACATGGAGTATCATCTGTTGAAGCCTCTTACACTTTGCCCCTTACCCTTTGACATCTCTATCTCATTTTCTTGGAATGAACCAACTTAATTTTGCTCTCTGTTAGTATCCTTTTGTGCTTAGGACTTACACAGGCAGATTCCTCCATCTCTAAGAAGTTTTTCAGCATGAATGTTTGCAGATCATTTTTAGAGTTTTCACAGATTAGGTTATGTCTTAAGACATTCAGTAGTTGACACTTCCTTGTTGCTTACTGTTAATCCAGCCACTGCAGAAGCATTAAGTTGCTCCAGGATGGTTCCTACCTCTTCTATAGCTTCTGTTCACAGTAAACTCTTCCCATATATGGGCGGCTGTTTTCATTTCCCACGCTCATAGGACCATAGGATGATTCAGGTTGGATTACAAGTGCAAGAGATCTGTAGTCCAACCTCCTGGACAAAGTAGGGTCATCTGTGAAGTCAGAGCAGGTTACTTACGGCTTTATCAAGTCTAGAAACAATGCAAAACAAGGGGTGTTAAACATACTCTCACTTTTGTATTTGAACAGGACACTGCCTTTTTTGAAGACCCTCGAGTTTTTTGTTTCGTTTGGGGTAAGGATTTTTGGTTCAGTACCCTTTTCTCAAAGACTATCCTATTGAATTTTTAATTGTGTCAGGAAAAGTTGTAGTGGTGGTGAAGCCAGCTGATGTCATTTGAATATTTTTGACTCAACAAGCCATGCTTTTGCATTTCTGAAAAGTATTGTTGCTATCATAATATGCAGAACTGTCTCGTAAACCTTTAGTCATACCTTTCCTAGCCGTGTCTTATAGCTGGGCTCTCAAAATAGGGAAGAGGGGTTATCAAATCAAAGCAAATGAAAACAAAATACCCCCTCTCCCAGAGTTTGTGTTCTTCCTCTGAAGACCTAAATTGCCTCAGAAGGGTTTGCTCAGGAAGGTGGGTGAGCTGTAAATGTACATATTTCAATTGTTTTTTTGAAAATGAGAAGAGTCATTTCAGTGAGAAGTTTACTTGTCAGTACATGGAGTTTCTTTTATTTATGTTGTCCATGTGTGTATTTGCTATATGCTAATGTTATATGCCCTGAAATATGTAAAAAATTATGATCTATTATATGTTATGTAATTATATGTTTTAGATAGACAAAGGTGAGCTGGAGATTATGATGAAAGTAGTGCATTGTGTATTCTGTGCCTGTTGCACCGTGTGTTTGAGGCACTGAAAAGATAGGACACAGGTACAAGCTTACAGCATTTTCAGCTAAAGAGGTCTCAAAATGTAGTATGTGATATATTTATACATTAATATGCTCTGGATAGCAGTTTTAGCCAGAATTGGATGTTTTCCAGTAACCATTCTTTCGCTGCTTAATAGTTTACCATTATCTTTATTTTTAAAGTTTCAACAATATTCATGTATCTCTTGGTTACGTCTGTCTGTGCATATCTCTGTAATGATACTAAGGTTTATTTCTACAGCTGAAAAGGCTGAATCAAGTGGGTTTTAAAAATTCATTGTTCTACACTATATTCTGCTCAGTAGCACTAACAAAAACATTATTGTAGATTTTTAAGGTGTGCCTTTTAAAAACATGGGAATGAAATATTACTGCTGCTGTGATCTGTCTGGAAACATTTCTTTGTATTACCCTTGTTCAACATGGGTGATTTGATCAGGAGTTTGTTCTTTGTTTATTAATTTTAGTTTTAAGGAAAAAGTGAACTTCTGCTAACAAACTTAAGTTTGGTCCACACGTGCAACGAGACTGGAAGCCATATGGCCACAAATAGCATAGTTGTAAATGACCGAATGAGTCCTGGTGACAGGCATGGCATATTTACAAAGTTTTGTTTGCCTCCCTAGCCACAGTAGCGCGGCTTCCTGAAAGAGTAGTGTGACTGTGTGTGGCTCTGCAGAAACCTGGATAGTGTTACTAGTTCTTGGTTTATGGTTAACTTTGACTTCAATTCAATTTTCACTTCAGGTATCAGCCATCAGTTTGAAATTAAATCTTAGCTGAAGAAAGAACTTTTTTTATTTTTCCCCCAAACAAATGCTGATAAATAAACACTATAAACACAGGTAATGGTTTAAGAGAAAAAACCTCTCATGACTGAGCAAAACTGATCACTAGTACAGCCAAATATTATACGCCCAAAGGCATCATTTTGTTACCTCGGTTTTAGCTGAATGTTTAAGGCATTCAATAATGTATGTGCTCTGTGTTGGTCTGCTGCACACATGAAGAATTTTATAATTTGTACTTTTTTGTCTCTGAAACTCTTTTTGGTTATTGCAGTATTACAGAACAATCTTTAATAATTCTGAAAGGAACAGAATATCTTTAAACAAAGTTGACATTTTTGTGTTAAAGTCTAGTTAAATTTGCGTAGTTTAACTTGGCTGTGTTGAAAGGCACTTAAACACAATTTAAACAGCAACCACTGGTGAAGACTGTTTTAGAAGACTGCTGGTTTTTATACATGCCTCAGCGCTGGGCCCTTGCGCTACTATTTCAAAGGCTTTTGGTGTCATAGGTTGTAAGAGTTACCAGTTTTTAATTTGGATCAACTACCTCAAGTCCACAGTTCAATTTTTTTCTGCTGCTGTGCTTCTAAAGATACATGTAGGTTTTTTTTCTTTTTAGCCCTGAGAAGGGATAAGATTTTCTTCTTTGTTATAACAATTTTTTTTTCTCTTGTTTATTTTAACATACAATTGTCTACATTGAATGAGTGTCATACAACTGGAGTACCTTCTACTGAAAATACAGGGAAAAGCTGTGTCACAATGAAAGCTAAGTCGTCATGGTGGAGAGGGGAACACGCACACAAGTTTGCCTGACTTGATCTTCAGGTGCTGTGAACAAAGGCAGCTTCAGCTCCCAGTTGGCTTCTTCAGTTAGAAGAAATAAATGGGTTACTTCATAAGCTATCATTTCTGGTCACTGGATTCAGGGCTCCGGCCACATAAATGAACCTTCATATAGGACAAATTCTTCCAAATAATGCTAAAATCAAGCTCTGCAGTATGTTTCTAAATTATCATTTATTCAGTTTCATAGAACTGAAGGATGTTTTCCTTGGTGATGTAGCATAGCAAGTAAATGTTGGAGATGGCACACTGTATAAAAAAAAAAGGTAATTACTTTGCCAATGTGTTATATGCATATTTGAATGACCTGGATTTCCTACTGCTTCGTGAAAATTTAGACCATCTGGATTTAGTTTTAGCTTTTGATCTTCTGCCATGACCCTTACAGTGACCTAAGCTATTTTTATGCAGTATGTAATACCATTAGCTCTCCCAGCTTATGAGTCTTTTTCTACCAGTAAGCATGATAAGTATTCTCATCATATACATATCTCCTGTACTTCGGTTGTTTAAACATGAATTTGTTTTTGTGATTAGTGCTTAGTATTTAATGGTTCAGAAACAGTCTCTTCACCTGAAAGTTCTTACAAGATTTTACCCCAGAGTTGTTAATCTTTGATATACAGCTCTAGGACTGAAGAACTGCTTCATTACTTTAAGCTTTGTTAAACAATGTGACAAACTTTAGGGCCTCTTTAATTTTATAGAAAAATACCGTGTGGTATGTGGTATGTGACTCAGCGTTGTATGATGGGGATAAAAGATCACATGGACACGCAGGCTCATTCTGTGCTCCACGTACACCTTAACTATGCTCTGTTTTCCTAATGTGTCACCTGAGACAAAGATTATCTTCTTGTTGTGTTTTGTTTCCCCTGTATGGTAGTTTACTTTTGCAGTGAAAGGATACAGGTTTTGAATGTAAACATGTTCCTTTTACATTTCAGGACCGTAATGGTCAGAGCTAGGGAACTCTGGTCAGCACTTAGCAATTACTAACTCTGCTTTAACTGGATGGTCTTCGTTACTGGGAAGTAGTGTTTGCTTAAATCTCACATTAAATATTTTTTAAGTTAACAGTAATTTTGTTTCAAGATTTTTTTTAAATTCTCTTCCTAGATGGTAAAAGCAATCCAAGTTCTGCGTATCCATCTGCTTGAGCTAGAAAAGGTTAATGAACTCTGCAAGGATTTCTGTAGTCGTTACATTGCCTGCCTGAAGACAAAAATGAACAGTGAAACTCTATTAAGTGGAGAGCCTGGAAGTCCTTATTCCCCTGTGCAATCCCAGGTATGTTTCAAATAGAGTTAAGTGTATTTTTGCTTAGATTTCTTTAGGAAGTTATAACTATACTTCTGTTGCTATTAGTTTGCAAACAGTGTGTCTGCAGTTTCTTTCACTTTCTCAAAATCACTTATTAAGAGCTGTATTTCTTTTTGTGCACACCTGTGTGCCACTGCCTGATTGCCCAATTTGTTGAAATGTGCCAAAACATAGTGTCACTTTTTTTGTCTGTCTTCCTTTTATGATTTTCCCTCAGTTCATCAGATGGAGATACTCACAGTAGCCTGGACTTGCTGTTTTCTTGGAAGGAGGCTAGGAAACAAAATAAACAGGAGTAGAAAAAAAAATCCTTGTTAAGAAGGTCTCCTTAGCCTAGTCTGCTTCATTAAAAAGTATCAGCCATCTCAATGTTTTATACACAATGTATTCTGGAACAAATAGACAATGTCTGATGGATTATAGTTGCAATATTTGAGATGTATGGCATTGCACGTCACCTGGGGTAGCTGTGTAGTTACGAACAGGACCCATTTCTGTACATGTGAACCTCAGTTTATATATTGTTGACATTACCTAAATGCAATAACCAGTTGCATTTTTTGGTACTAAATTGACAACAGTTAATTAACAGCAGTTAGTATGTAACGGTTGATGCTTCTGCTGTTAGATGCTGGAAAGCGAGCCTTGCCACTTGAGTACCTACTAGATAACTAGCCCTAGGGGATGGTCCTTCTCTGTCTTATGAATGCATTTGGTGCTATATATTCTGAAAAGTCTCAGTGGCTTTTAAACTTCACTGTCTGAACTCCTTACTTGGGTTTTCGTGTCTGGAAACGTGGAAAGGAGAGTCTAATATCAGAAGAAAGTAGAACACCTTTTGAAAAGGCTTTTTTTTGTATGTCTGTTACAGTCTTCTATAGAGACAGGAGGGGCTGAATTTTGCATTTAGTAACACTACTAGAGATTATTCATGCATATTAAGGAATGTGTAAGAGTTTGTATGGTCAGGGTTGAGTAGGAACTGTCCTAAGCAGAATAAAACATACTGGGCATCTTGAATACTTAATACATTAAATATATTATTTTGAAATGGAAGGAATTAAGGTAATAACTAAAATTCTAAAGCTTTGATGCTCATAATAAGAGCATCAAGGGTCCATTTCATGTCTCCTTCTTCCCTTGTGCTTTTGGAAACTGTTTCTCTTAGTGTTTATATATCTAGAATAATTTCTCTCCTAACATTTCTCAAGATAGTTTTATGTCTTTTCTAAGAGTTGTTTTCATGAGGATTTTCAAAGGTAATGATAGGCGATAATGAGAAAGTTAATGTAGGTAATGATGAACCTCTAATGAAGTCTCTTTCTCTTTGAAGTTAATCCTGTGATTAAACTCCAAATGTATTCTTAGAGCCAAAATTACACAAGCGTGCTTTATGTCTTTTAAAAAAAAATCTTAAAAAAAGTGCAAGCAACTAATTGTTTTCTTTTTCTAGCAAATTCCAAGTGCCATTGCAGGCACACTCAGTCCCCAAGGGATTATGGTGCCAGCATCAGCATTGCAGCAGGGAAATGTAACTATGGCAACAGTAGCAGGTATGACACAGTAAATAAAAACTGACACCTTTCTCTTCACTTTGGTTTCTTTTATAGTTATTATAATAAAAAATACACAAATACTTTTAAAAACTTGTTTTAATACCTGAAAAGTTGTTGTAATATGGCCGAGTGCCTTACCAGTTTCTGAGCATTCATTTAATCTATATGTATACAAACTATGCATATGTAAATGGAGGTTACATATATAAAATATTAAGAGATCTTTCTGCACAGTGTTACTTTCGTTAAAAGACTTTTTGGAGACTGGGTTGTTTTACTTCTTGTTTTTTTTCCTTCCCCCCCCCCCCCCCCCAGAAAAAGAATTCTGTTTGACAAAAACATGTATTACCTAAAATACAGCACTTGCACTTGCTAGCTGTCTCATGTTCTATGGAGTTTGAAACCACACCTACAAGTCTGTGAAATCTTTGATGTCTAAGTTGTTCTACTACTGTATGGAGATGACATTTGAAAGGAAATGTTTTATCTTGCTTCTAAGCAAGGTTTTAAAACAAACAAACAGAAAACAAACAAACACCCTCCCACACACAAACAAACAAACAAACAAAACCTCCACCTTGACTACAAATGCAACAAAGCAGTGCAGTCTGCTCCTTATATACACTTGCATACACTTGCAGAGAGGTTGTCCTGAAACACAGTGTGTGCTTTGTGGCCTGAGTGCCCAGGACCCACTGTGCCAAGATTCTGTCAACTTAGTTGACCTGAACATCTAGGTGTCACCCAGCTGACTGCCCTAACCAGTCAGAGCACACAGGTGTGATTTTGGTGGTGTGACCCTTGTCGGCTGAAGAGTTAGCTCAGTTAAAATGAAACAGTGAACTATTTTATAGCCTGATAGTCATGGCACTTCCCTTTGAAAATAGATTTAGAATGCCTGAAATACAGGGGAACATAATCAAATTTAACACAGATTTTTGTATGAGCACATCTTGCATGCTTACTAGAAAAGAATAGTTGATACGTTATCAAAACTGTTGTATTGTCTGTAGTGCTGATGTGTTTGTGTATTTAAAGAGAATCATACTTGAAGGGCTTTTACTTACCTGTAATCTTTGTTGCTGTTTTGTTTTAAGGGGGGACAGTGTATCAGCCCGTCACTGTGGTCACTCCACAAGGTCAAGTGGTGACACAAGCACTGTCACCTGGGACTATTCGCATTCAGAACTCTCAGGTTTGTTTCATGGGCTTTACAGAATAATATTCTGGTTTCAAATAAATCTCACTGGTTTTAAGAGTTTCGATTAAAATTTGACATACTGTCAGAATGAGCTCTGTGTGCACATGCATAGTAACTGATTTAAAATTAATGCAAGCACTGCTATAGGAGTTACAAGTTGTATAACATGGGATAAGGTCCCAGACAGATCTCCCTTGCCACAGAAGGTCATCAGAGCTCCTACTTGTTATATATCTTTTTTAACTGATGGAAGGAAAGTATAGGTTTGTAGATTTAAAAAAAAAAACAACACAAAACCAAACCAACAAACAAAAAACACCCCAACGAAAACCCAGCCTGAAACCCAGCAAGCCCACAAAACCCCACCAGTCAAAAAACCCTCTGAATTTATTAGGCACTTTTTCAATGATTAAAACTTTTCTAACTGTTGAACTAGGTTTATGGCTGGATAGATTTACTCTATTGTGTTATGGTGCCATGCTGCTGTTGTCAGAAATTTGACTTTTTTCATGATGGCAACCACTAGTGCTGTGAAATGATGTATTTCAGAATTTATACATGTTGAGAAGCATTTTGCCATAAAACCTTCAAAATACTCAGCTGAGACTATTAGGTTCATTATATCATATACTAACAGATAAGAGCCAGCACTGTTTTTTGGAGAGGCTTTTAAGAATTGGATCTGGAGAGCACAAAGAAACAACTAAGGAAAAGGCAACATGAAAGCTAGACCATCTTCAGTTAGGGTAAACCTTGCTAGCTTTCTCTTGGAGCAGGAGATGGTAAATAAAATCTTCCAGGCTTCCAGAGTCAATTAAAAGTGTGAATGAGGAGCTACCATCTCCACAGCATAAAATCTGTTTGGTAATCACTGTCTCACTGTCTTCTCTTCTTCCTTCTGACCTTCTAACCAGAAAAACATGTTAGAGTATACTTATCTTCTTTTTATTGGCAGTAGCATGTACGCACTTGGCCTGTACTCTTCCCTAGAATGCATGCAGTTCTGTCCTCACATACATTTCAGAAAGAAATGTGTAAAATTACTCTCCTAGACCGAAGTGTTTTTTGAAGAAAAATGCATTTTATACCTCTGATGGGAAAAATAAAATACTGAGTAGAAAATAATGCATATGGCCTATAACCAAAAAAACAGACTTGATCTTTATTTTATATATATATATATATATGTATATATGTAT